AACTTGTGAGAAGAGATGTTGAATACTGAATAGTAATCTGTATTTCGTAATTAGCAGTCAATAGTTGTTATAATCTATTGGGAAAGTGAATAAAAAGTTGTGAATTGTTTGTCTAAAAGAGACAATTATTGAATACATTAGTCGCTTGACTGCCGGCGCCTAAAGTGCGGCAGAGAAGTAGGAATTGAAGAAATGAATTGTCAGCGCATTTCTCGTTCAACGCATGACAACATCTAATCTCAAACGAAACGCTACTTTCTGTGAGGAATTCAATTTTGACCATCAGTTGAATATAGCGTTGAATTTGTGGCACCAAATACTCAATACTTGATTAGTTGATAATAAATGTAATATTCATCACTAATATTCACTAGTTATTGTGATTATTGTATTAATTTTACATATAATTTGTGTATTTCTAGAAAATTATTGCCATTTTTGACCGAAAACACTGGCGAGGAATTGCTGTTACAAAACATATTTAAATTTTATTTAATCATACAATAAGAATAAAACATGAAATTCAACGAAAATTATTTAATATTATCGCTTGTGTTCGTTGTCTTATTATTTACTATTCAATCCAATGCAAGTGAAGGTAAATTCTTGATTATTCTTATTCTAGTTTGTAAATCATTTATTTTAATTTCAAACTATTCTATAAGACTTTATTATTTAAATACATAATTTAAATCATATGTCACACTTAACTTTATTGATTACATTTACTTAACATTGATTCCATATTTTATCTATTATTTCAATTTATAGATTTAATGAATGAATCAAATATAAGAATAAATTGTTATTTATAGTGCTTTTATTATTCTCTGATAGTAATGTGAATGCCATTCATCCGATTGTAACATATGTTATGATACGGTTTGTGCCAAATATAAAATACAACCTTTCCATACACTATAACAATACGAATCAATACCATTAGAGTATCTATTGTTATAATGTATTGTATTATTAATTTTAATTAATTATTTATGATTTTATTTTTTATTCTTGCGCATTATTAGAGAAATTTTGATTAAATGTCAACATATCGTAAATATAACCCCAATTAGACAAACAAATAATTTATAGTTGTGTTATGTTTTACAGTAACTCTAATTTAGTTTAACATTTAAAACCATATTCTAAATGTCATATTTGACAGTATTTGCATTACAATCAAATGGCAAAATGAGATATTTTTACAGTATTTACGCAAACAATGATTATATTTATAAATACAATTCAAACAGAAATGAACACAAATTTTTTATATAAAAACGAGCAAATATTTGACAAGAAAATAATCAACAGTTAGTAATATTGATCTTCGCTTTCAACACAAAGAAAATAATTATTGAGACTTAACTTGCGATCAGAAAATGGTTTATTATGTGTTGTGTTTATTCTTGTTCTCCTCTTATTATCAATGAATTCTTTGTCACATTTATTACAAAAATATCCTTTTTTTTCTTTAATATTCGTTATCTGTTGTGTCCATACATTGAATGCAATTATTTTGTTCAGAGTTTGACTCATCCCCCGATGATTACTACTCCGGAGCCCTCGAAAACCTTTTGCAAAGTCCGCAAAATATCTTAACTGACAAACGAAGTTGTATTAGAAGAGCCGGTTCTTGCGATCACAGGCCTAATGATTGCTGTCCAAAATCAGGTACTATTATATAGTTGTTTTATAATTGCACAGTTGTATTGTGTATCCATACAATCTATCGATATAATAGAGTGAATAGTGAACTCATGACTCATGACATTTTGATTGTTAGTGTGTCGATGCAATCTATGGGGCACTAACTGTCGCTGTCAAAGGCTTGGATTATTTCAGGTTTGTATTCATACCACACTATATATGATATATGTTTTCAATACTTTCCATACAATTGTATTCATTTATTTCCAATTTGACAGAAATGGGGAAAACGTTAAAAAGCCGTTGTTTTCAAATCAAATTATCTTTTCGTTTAGTGAGGATATAGTTTCTGAGCTCAAGTCTATTGTTAGTCTCTGTTTTACATTACATTTTGTTGTTTTTCTCATTTTTATCGTTTAGAAGCTATTATTCTACTGAAAGTATAGAATATTCCTTAGTTTCACTTCTCGTCTCATCTCAACTAAAAATTTCTTTATTTTGATTAATGTTTGTTTTCAGGGCTTAATTGATATAAAAATTTCTATTTAAATTAATGTTAGATTAAATAGATTTAAAAATCAGAAGTCTTGCCATTTGAAGATTACGTACAAAAAGTTATTTTTAAATATGTATTTATTTAATATTTATTAATTAATCTAAATTATAAATTTCTTAACTCGACAATTATTGCTATGATTTCTAAAAACATCCTGGTGGAATTCATGCAATTTATTCATAACAATAACACTCTGTTAGACAACATGTGAATATATATTATGTCAAAATTGAACAACAAATATATGAATCTAACTCTCCATACATTTTAAGCAATCATCAAACGTGTGAATTGAAACTCACAATAAAAATCTTGTTAGATTTTGTTTTTGTTTTATTTTTGCTTTTTATTTTATATGTATATATAAAATAATATATATATTAAATATTTAATGTTTATGTCATCAAAATTGTATGTCTAATGCTCTCTAATTTATGTCAGTATTTAAGTAATGTTCTTATATTTATTATTTAAAATATGAGTGCAATTCTCTTATAATAATTATTATCGTTTTCTAGTGTTATGTAAATCATAATATTTTTAATGTTTTATTAACAAAACGAATTATTGTTAATATATATATTATTACTATTTAATTATAAAGTATGTGAGAAACATAATGAAGTTTATACCGTATTTTTTGTGTACTTTTCAAAACTGTTTCTAAACTATTATTATATAATCCTTGAATCAAATCTATATCGTGTAAAAATCAATATTAACTTTAAATCCATATATTTTGTTTGGCCTCAACTCTATTTATTTCTAAAGTATATCTCATTAGTTGTAATTGTTTTGTGTATTAATAAACAAAATTATAATTGCATTAACGATGTCATCAATCATTTAATTATAAGCTTTCATTTTTCATTTCCACTAAATATTTTTATTTTATTAATAAAATTCATAAAATTAAAGTTATACATAAAATTTTTAATAACATTATTGAAATACAC